GTGTTCACTGTACGTGTGGACGCATGGGCTGGATGGAAGGTTGAATAGAGCAGCTCTGTCCTCTCGTGGTAAGTCCTGTGGGGCTGGTTCTGGGGGCTTCTGTAGAAAATAGGGGCTCTCAGGCTAACTGCTTCAACTTTGGAGGTTCGGGTTTTATTGGAGAGGAGAGAAAAGTGCCCTTCACCACCCTCATTCGACCTACACCTCTGTGCCTTGTACCTTACACAGTGACTTCACTCCTGTTTGGGTTGAAGTGTGTCCCCCACCCTCCAAATTCATATGTCGGTGTCCTGACCCCCAGTACCTCAGGCTGTGATCTTATTTGGAGAGGGTCTTTACAGAGGTAATAAGTTAAAATGCAGTCACTAGGGTGGGCTCTAATCTAATGGCTAGTGGCCTTATGAAAAGCAGAAGTTTGAACACGGAGACACACGTGGAGGGGGACCACTATGTGGACACCAAGACAGCCACCTGTAAGCCAAGAGCGGAGGCTGCAGCAGATTCTCCCTCGGCCCTCAGAAGGAGCCAACCCCGCCAACCGCTGATCTCGGACTTCCAGCCGCCACAACCGTGAGACAACACATTTTTGTTGTTTAAGCCTCTCAGTTTGTGGCATTTTGTTATGGCAGCCCCAGGACCCTGATACAACGCCCACGTGTGAACAGGATCAAGGTAGCAAGGTGGTCAAGCATGTGGCCTCTGCAGTCAGTTTAGCTGCTTCTCATCCCAGTCACCCGCTCACCAGCTGTGTGACCTTGAACAAGTTGCTCAGCCTCTCTGTGCCTCGGTAAAGTGGGAGAATTACAGTACGCACACAATGCGCTTCCTTATTTAATGAGTGATATACTTGGACCAGACAGGAGAGCTTTTGGCACGTGCTGTAGAGGTTCCAAGCTTGCCTTGTCAGGAGAGCGGGTTGGTGAGACCAGAGCAAGGGAGCAGGGTGTCCTGAGGGGCCCAGAGCCAAAGCTTGCACGGTTGGGTCATGGCCGTGGGGTAGTGGCTCGTACCCAGGATGGACTGTCATGTCCGACCTCCAGGCCCTCCATATCCCTGGCCCTCACCTGCCTACCTCCCACGGCCGTCAGTCATCTGGTCCCCACACAGCCCTGTGGGGTTGGCAGGGAGACGATAGAGGCCCCGATGGATGGGGAAACTGAGGCCTGGGCAGAAATGGTCTCCAGATCACCCAGTTCTGACACCTTTGAGCCAGAACTCGAACCCAAGTCTCTGGGCTCCAAATTCAGTGCCCTTGCTCTGTGAGACGCTGCTTTCTGGTGGCCACTGCCTCCCAGAGCAGCTGAGGGGATTCTCAGTTGATGGAAAGCGAGCTTCCCTGGGGTGCCCACACCCCACACAGCACACCCCTCACGAGTGTGTGTTTCCCCTGGCTTCCCCTCCCCAAGGAACAACTTGGGGGTTCCTAAGGAATGAGTCCCCACTGTGTGCTAAGTACTGAAGATGACCCTTTCATTTCACCCTCACTGCAACCCTGCAAGGTAGGTGCTATCACCCCCATTCTAAGCGGGGTGGAGTGGGGTACCAGGGGAGGAAGGGAGGCTCAGAGAGGGAAGGAGACTAGCCCAAGACCACACAGCCAGGAAGTACCAGTGCTGGGGACTGAATCAACACTAGAGGAAAGATGTGCCCGATACCCCTATCCCTGGTAACCCCCAAACACCCTCTTCCCTGGAGGCGGAGCTGGGTGCAACAGGGGGTGCAGAGGGCAAGGCCCTCAAAGGAATGCCAAGGAATGCCAGTCGGCCAGTTGCCAGTCAGGTTGGGGAAACAACAGGTGCTCAAAGGAGGTGGGGGTGGGAGATGACCAGAAATGGGGTGCCTCCCCCCCTGGCTGCGTTGTGAGTGGGCTTCCCTTGGGAGTGTGGGTGGGCAGCGGGGTCCCCTTCAAAGTGCAGGAGGGATGCTCTGAGCGACCTTTGTCACTCACCACTCACTAATGATCAGAGTGGGAGTAAATGGGGCAGAGCCTCTGAGCAATTGGCTGGGGAGCTCTGAGACACCGCTCAGCTCAGGGGCCAAAGGCCCCGCATTAATGAAGCCAATGCACCCCGCAGGGTGAGAGGCCGCCTCGCGCCCACTCTGCCCAGGATTAAACTTTCAGCGGCTGCTTTTCAAGGTTCCAAAAAGAAATAAGGGGAGGCAGAAAGGGAAGGCGTTGTTTTCATGCCTCTTGCTTCATTTGCATAAGGTGGAAAATGTTTCCATAGAAACAACCAGAGTCTGTAATTTTTGAATAACGATTTCTGCACAAAGCACAACCTGTCTTTTTGCGAAAGGGAATTAAGGAATTCTTAAAAGCATTCCCCACCACAACAGGCGAAGTCACCCGGTGCTGGGACAGCCGCTCCAGGAGAGGGTCTTGGTTTAAGCTCCTGGCCTCTCTGGGCCTCAGTTTCCCCACTTGTGACATGGGCGAGGGAGAAGTGGATTAGAACAGTGGTGGTTAAACTTTATGTGCATGGAGGGGGCGTGGCGGGTGTGAAATCCCCCATCCCTGGGCCTCAGCTGGGGTTCAGACGCAGGGGGTCTGGCTGAGTTTTAATGAACTTTCCAGAAGAGGCTGGGGCAGAGCCCTGAGGGCCATCCAGGCAGCAGGGGAGAAGTCCGGCCGGCACCTGCCCACCGCCCAGTCCCCTCCTCCGACGTGTCCAGTGGTGGCCAAGCGCCCGGCTCACTAGAGCGGAAGGCGGCGCCTCGCCGGGGTGCCTCTGCCCCCTGGTGGCCTGAGGGCACTGCAGCACCCACTTGCCCTGGGCGCTCCATGTCAACACCGCCACCCAGGGCTCCTCCAGGGGCTGGCCTCCTGGAGGGAGCTGGGGGTCAGGTCAGGCAGGGAGAGAGACCCCTGAAACTAACCGTCTTGCCCAGGTTTCGGGGCAGACCGCCCCACTACAAATGGTCCCAGGGAGGGCCTGCCTCTGAGGGCCTGCCTCAGGAGTCAGAAAGTGAAGGCTGTAGCCTACAGGGTGGGTTCAAGAGGCCCTTGTCTGCTCCCCCATATTACAGATGGGAACACTGAGGGCCTGAGAGGGGCCGGCATTTCCCTGGTCTCCCCACCAAGGGGCCCTGCACGCTGTGCCCATCACGAGGCCCCGGCCACAGTGACCAAGGTGGCTGGGCGTTCCTGAGGTCCGCAGAGCACAGTGTCATCCTCATAGGAGTGCGGGGTGTCTTTATGTATTCTCTTCACTTAACCGTGGGGTGAAATATTGTGCTGGGACTGGAGCTGAGCAGGCAGAAACGCTCCGAATCGCGGGCTTAATTATAGCCAGAGGAGACGAGAAATGAGCCATGAGCTGCCGGTGGCTCCAGCACCGGGAACGAGACCTCACACGTCTTCCCTTTTTATTTTTAAGAAATACATATATGATGCCTCCTTGATTAAAAAATATTGACTGTGCTGGACAGTGACCTTTTGGGGTGCAGGAGAGTCTGCCCTCAGCCCAGCATGCCTGGAGCCCTACCCCCTCCAGGAGGCTTCCGGGTTGCTCACCTGGGCACCAGGTAGCTGGGCGTGCATCCCCTTTTCCACGGACGGCACCATGGGGAGAACTCAGCTCCAGAAGACCCCGATGTGGTATCTGGCCCACTGCTGGTGGCCTCAGGCAGGGACCACCACCGAGGGTGCAGGTGAGACAGAGAGAGATGGCTGCAGTTTACGCTGGTGGGAGTTCAGAGGGTGGTCCCTCACCTGCCGGGTTGCTGTTTCCTGCCTCACAGGTGCAGTGCCCCCAACTACTGGAAGGTCCTCCTCAACCTGCAAGTTGTCCGTCGGCATGAGGCAGAGTGAGGAAGGACAGAATCGGAATCTAGGCTGTCTAGCTCAGCCATCCGTGTCCGAAAGCAGGACAGCCTTTGGTCAGATAGAGCCCAAGCCAAACTGGGGAGGGGGTGACCATGGGCCACACAGATGAGTCACGTGTCACATCATTGGGAAAGAGCTCACCACTACACAGGCCAGACCCTAGAAGCTGTGTGGCCTTGGGAAAGTTACTTCACCTCTCTGAGCTTAAGTTTCCTCACCTGTGAAATGGGCTTTTTTGTGAGAGCTGCTGAGAGGATTAAAAGCGAGTGTATCTATGAGCAGCCAGCTCAGGGATAAGTTCCCCCAGCTCAGAGGCAGTGACAGAAGATGGGGCCTGGTGACTTCCCTAACTGGCACCTTGGAGAACAGCTGCCCAGTGGCAACGGAAGTTGGGTCTGTGGGTCACTTGGAAATAGTAGGGGGCTGGAGAGCCTTAGCAATTGGGTTCCTTCGCCAGCTGCAGACTGCTAAGGGGCACAGCACCCGAGCGCTCGTCCCTGGAGGGGTGCTGACATGCCGGACTGGCCTATCGCTGAGATGGGGCAACCACCAACCTCAGAGCATTCTTACAGGAATCCAAATCCATGATGGGGTGAACACCCCTAGAACGGATAACACCCCCATTGGAACACAAGACATGGTTTTCGTAATTACACTCAGTCCTCACGAAGGAATCACAGGTGAGAAACTGAGGCACGTGGAGCAGGTGGCAGCCTAAGGCCACACAGCAGGACGTGTTGCAGCCTGGGCTGGGTGGGGTCCGGGTGGCGGCATCTCATTTTATACAATTTGGGGGCCCTCAGAGTCAGGCCAAGAGAGAATGTTTAGAAGAAATCACAGCAAATGCCCCCTGTGAAAAGTGTTGACACGCACCGCAGGCGTCAGCGTGGCCAGGGCCTGGCTGCGACTCCAGCCCAGGTCTCTGGCTCTTGCGCCAATGCCCTTCCTGCCAACGCAGCCCCCGCAAAGGCCCCTGGTTTCCTGCGAATGGGTTTCTTTGCCACTGGAATGAACCAAAGATTCAGATAAGGATTTCGAAATGGTTTTGCCCTGCCTGCCTCGCAGCGCCCCTTGCCAGAGCAGAGAGTGGGGAGTGAGGCAGGCATGTTCCCTCTTGGAGATGGGGTGGGTGGAATTGGGGGGACGAGACAGTCTCTCAGTTCTATGCCCATTTACATATTTCTTCTGTTCACTGTCAAGAAACTGCCTCCCTTCCTGGTTCTTGAAGGCATGGCTCCCCCAGGCAGATAAAAGCTTAATGGAGTTTTGCAACATGAAAGTCACTTGGAGGGAATAGCCTTGAACGGCCTGCGTCAAGGAGAAAGGCAAGTGGGACATGGGGACGACGAAGGTGCCCTAAATAATTTCACGGCGCAGGCAGCGTTCGCTGCCACCAAGGCAGGGAGGAAGGACCAGGAAAGAGAGATCGTGGTTTTCGTGGAAAAATGGAGACTACCCTGAAGCATTTGGGTAGATGTCCTGAGAAGTGGGTGCAACCAGAAGATGGGACACTGGGGCTCCGTGCCAGGAGGTGAGGAACAGCAGCTGACGGTGGAGGGTCAGGGGAGGTGACGGTGTGGAGGCTGGGTTCTGAAGCCCCCATGGGAGCTGGAGCACGCACAGGTGGGCCCCGTGCCAGCGGTGGGCTGGGGAGCTGGGGCGCCCCGGCCCTGGGGAAGAGCTATGAGACAGTGCGAGGTCAGAAACCAAGGATCTGATGAGCCCCTCTTGGCTTCGGGGTTCCCTTTATTTGGGGTGAGGTTGCCTCCAGGTGGACACTGGTGGGGGCAGTGGAAGGTGAGGGTGTGTGAGAGGACAGGAAAGATGGCATTTGAGGCAAAATGGCCCCTGGAAGGGGTAAGTGTGTTTGCTCTAAGTGTGAAAGGGTAAGCCTCCACCCCGTTCTCCATCATGCACCGAGCCGCGTCCTGTGCTGGGCCCAGAGCAGCTCAGGAACAGGAACTGGGGCTGTCACTGCCCCAAGAAGGGGCACTGACTTGTGACAAACTAAAGTTCAGGTCAGGGTGGGGCTGGACACGGCCGAGGTGAGGGATGCAGAGGTGCCTGAGATGGGCCGCTGAGATACGTCTTGGGAGGAGGAACCTTCCAGAGGAGGACACAGCCTGGCCAAGGCTTGGGGTGAGTGGGGAGCCGCCTTGCCCCGACTCACCTGGGTCCCAACAGTGCAGCCAGGGAACCCGTGTGGCTGGGATGAGCGCTGAGAAGGAGAGGGCGGCCAGCAGGGTCTCAGTGGGATGAACTGGGATCCCATGGACAACGGGGAGCTGCTGGAGGGTCTTTCAGGGGTGACAAGCTTCCATCTGAGATGTGTCTCAGGTAAAGGGGGAGAGGAGGGCAGAGGCTGTAGCTCAGGGCCAAAGAGGAGGTTGGGGGGG